TAGGTGAATCTCAAATCTTTCTTTTTTTTTGTTTTGTTTTCAGGGTTCTTTGCATCGTCGTGGATATTGGGGAGATGTATTGGTATGCAAATGCTTGTCAGAGTATTCTTTCCTATTGGCATGTCCTTTGGAGGTCCTAAAGATCAATGATTATGGTGGTTCTATCGAGGAGCTGGAGCAAATGAAGCATATCTTGGGGAAATTATCATCTCTTGAGCTGGTGGAAGTTGGTGCATTCTATGGTGTATCTTCACCTGACAAAAAGCTACAAGTCATGGCGAGTCTGCTAATGCTTCCCAGAGCTTCTCCCAAGTGCAAAATCAAGGTCAAGTTTTCTCCAAAGCGTTACTAAGAGAAAACTCTAATCTTTCCCTACTTTTGCTTTAAGTCTATCCGGAAGTTGACAAAAGAAGCTTGTTTAGTCTATGGTTAGTAGGAGAGAACCATTCTTAAAAGCACTTGTTTGTTTTGTATCTTTCATATGTTTTTGTTCACATAAAAACTTGTTTGTTGTATCTTTCATATGTTTTTGTTTACATAAGAACTTGTTTGTTTTGTATCTTTCCTATGTTTTTGTTGACATAAGAACTTGTTTGTTTTGTGTCTTTCATATGTTTTCGTTGACATAAGAATTTATTTGTTTTGTGTCTTTAATATCTGTTATTGTTCTAGATTTGATAAAGTAAATAAAAAAATGAAACTATACATAATTTCAACAAATTCATAATAATAATTTTAATCTCTATTATCATTCACTGATCAAATAAATACATTACCATTCATAACATCTTTCAAACCAAGAAATGAACCCTAAGTTAGCAGCAGAAGAAGAAGCTTCCCTCTTAATTTCTTTCTACGGCGAGTTTGCATCCGTAGGAAACTGATAACCGTCTCTTATGTGCAAGTCTCTGGCAATTTCGGAGGCAACACGTTCTCTGATGAATAATCTCTGTGTAAGTTTGGAATTCATGAACCAAATAAATGATAATTCGTTCAAATGGTTGAGATCCTCATAAGTTGAAGATCATTAGAAAATGGGATGTAACTATCATCAAAAGCAACTACCGAAAAATCCATAATCTAGAGAGAATATTTAATTTTTTTTAGATTTTTTCTGTCTAAACACTTCGCAAACGAACTATGAATGGCTTGATCCCTTTGCAAGGGTACGGAAGCAGCCTTTCTTAAAGGTCTAGCTATAACTTGATAAAAACTTCAAGTCGTTCATCTTTTCGATGACCTAATCTCCGAGCTCCAATTTAATATTCTCCAAAACCCAAACCATTAATCACAAACCCTAGTGGTGATTTTCTGATTCATTAATTAGCACTGTTTGTGGGGAATAGAGAATTATCAAATTGAAAAGCGGAGGTTCAAGATGGCAATATCAATTCCGACGTTACAAATCAAGCACTCTACCGCGAAGCAAATCACAAAACCATTCGCCAAGATAAGCTTTACTAATACACCGATCTGTTTACTTTATTAAATCTAATTTGCCACTGAAAACCCAAGTTTTCTCATTCATCAAAACATATTTGCGAACTCACTAGCTTTAGCATACAATTCATGCTTTGATATAATTCATACTTCGCCCTCTGTTGTTTTCTTTTTCTTTGATACATTAGGATTGAGGCTTATATTTGAGGTATAAGAATCAAGATATTCAAATGTTTCTTGATAGGTTGCTTGATATTTGATGTCTTCCGTGATTTTCTTGTGTTTCAGATGTTTGATCTCTTCTGGGAGGCAATGCCAGTGTTTGAAAAGCTGTCTCAGGTTACTATTGGACTTTCCAACTTCTGTTGGTATTCTCTACCAAATCTGATAAAGAAATCTCCAAATCTGAAGACTCTCATCATCGATGTTTGACCGTAAACCCTAAAAGTTCATTGCACAAACAAAATTTTGAAAACCTTTTAGGTGAATCTAATGTTTTTTAGTTTTGTTTTCAGGGTTCTTTGCATTGTGGTTATGGGGAAGATGGGTTGGTATGCCAGTGCGTGTCAGAGTATTCTTTCCTATTGGCATGTCCTGTGGAGGTCCTAAAGATCAATTCTTATGATGGTTCTATCGAGGAGCTGGAGCAAATGAAGCATTTCTTAGGGAAATTGTCATCTCTTGAGCTGGTGGAAGTTGATGCTTGTGTATCTTCACCTGACAAAAAGCTACAAGTCATGGCGGATCTGCTAATGCTTCCCAGAGCTTCTCCTAATTGCAAAATCCAGGTCAAGATTTCTCCAAAGCCTTGGTACTAAGAGCAAACACTAATCTTTCCCTACTTTTGCTAATTAAGTTTATCCGGTAGTTGACATAAGAAGCTTGTTTAGTCTATGGTTAGTAGGAGAGAACCATTCTTAAAAGCACATGTTTGTTTTGTATCTTTCATATGTTTTTGTTGACATAAGAACTTGTTTGTTTTGTGTCTTTCATATGTTTTTGTTGACATAAGAATTTGTTTGTTTTGTGTCTTTAATATCGCTGATATTGTTCTAGATTTGATAAAGTAAAAAAAAAACAAACGAAACTATACATAATTTCTAACAAATTCATAATAATAATTTTAATCTCTATTATCATTCACTGAACAAATAAATACATTACCATTCATAACATTTTTCAAACCAAGAAATGAACCCTAAGTTAGCAGCAGCATAAGAAGAAGCTTCCCTCCTACGGCGAGTTTGCATCCGTAGGAATCTGATCACCGTCTCTTATGTGCAAGTCTCCGGAAATTTCGGTGGCAAGCTCAGGTGCTGACATTGTGGAGAGGTAAGGTAAGAGCACTTGAATAATCTCTGTGTAAGTTTGGAATTCATGAACCAAATGAATGATAATTCATTCAAACGGTTGAGAATCCAGAAACCGTTGAAAATCAGGAAACAAATGATTGTAAATGGAATAAAAGAAAAATCAAACGGCTAAAACACAAGAATCTTGGAATGAGAACCAAACAGTACAAATCATGATTTAAACGGTTGACGATGGTCGTTGATCAAAAACCAAACGGTTGAAAGTTGACACACAAAGAATCAAAACTACAAGATAGTTAACCAACAAAGTCGTTGTAGTATAGTGGTAAGTATTCCCGCCTGTCACGCGGGTGACCCGGGTTCGATCCCCGGCAACGGCGTGTTTTTTATTATAAGCTTTCCCCAAATTTTCAGGTTTTTTTTTTTTTTCTTTTTCAAAATCATCAACGAACGATAGTTTTGAGGATTTCTCACTCTGCTCAAGTTCTTCGTCGAATTGGCTTCGAAGATTGAATTTTGGTTCATTAAAGTATCGAAATTCTGGATCATTGAAGAGTTGATCCAATACTTATGCTTTTCTGGATTGACCTCATCTGCTTTCGAAATTGGTTAGTGATTTGAAGAAACTAGAGTTTTTTATTTTCCAGGGTTTTGGCCAAAGTCATGGATATGATCAGTAATCTACCAAGTGACGTTATTTGCCACATCGATTCTCTCTAAGCGTTGGCGAAATCTGTTTACCATCATACCAAAGCTTCGTTTCGATGGAGAGAGTCTCAACGATTTTGTGGATGGAGTATTGGCTCTACCTATCAGTTCCCGTGTAAAGAATCTCTCTCTGAAAGCAGCCTTGTGTCCCAAGATGATGAACAGATCAACCGTTGTCTCTACAATGTGTTGAAGCGCGGTGTTTGGTTCTGAAACTCGAGATCAAAGCTAGGGTCCGGTTTAGTTATCGACCTTCTCCCCGAAGATGCTTTCTTTCCAGCTCTCAAGACGCTCTTTCTTGACACTCTTCGTTTCTGTGATGACTCTGGTCGCTGCTGTGCGTTCGAAACGCTTCTCTCTGCGTGTCCCGTGATTGAGGAACTAGTCATCGATGGTATCAACTGGGAACGATGGAAATGGTCTCGCAACGTGTCGAGCCCCATGCTTCGAAGACTGACTATGAGACGTGAAGAGTGGTTTTCTAAAGACGAGAGCATTGTGATGGATTCTCGTGGTCTTGCCTATGATTTTGACAGCATGAGTTTGGCTACTCCGTGTCTTACGTACTTGGAGTACTCTGACTATGTTCCTAAGGAGTACTTAGTTGTTAATCTCACCTCCCTTGTTGAAGCTCAGCTTAATCTCTGTGCGGGCGTGTTTGATGCATGGCCATGGGACGCAGAACGTGTTCCAGATATCAACCCAATGAATCTGATTAATGGGTTTAAACATGTTGAGATCTTGCACGTAACTTTTCAAACTACGGATGTAAAAGTGTTTCTCCTCTTTGGTGTTTTTCAAAAATCTTGAAGATAAACTCATCCGTTGATCTTGTTTATGTTTCAGATGTTACATGCCTTCCGTGAAGCAATCCCAGTGTTTGAAAAGCTGTCTCAGCTATCTCTTAGCCTTGCTGACAGCTGCTGGGTATCTGCACTGGCTCTGATGGAGAAATCTCCAAAACTAAAGACTCTCATCATCGATGTATGACGCAGCAAAACCCCAAATAGTTCATTGGTACTCATAAATCTTGAATCTCAAAGATTTGTTTCAGGGCTCTTTGCACTATGGAGGACGAAAAGATGAATATCTATGCGACTGCGTGTTAGAGTATTCGTTCCTGTTGTCTTGTCCTGCGGAGGTCCTCAAGATAAACTTCTATGATGGTTCCATCGAAGAGCTGACGCAAATGAAGCATTTCTTGGAGAAATTGTCATGTCTTGAACTGGTGGAAGTTGATGCTTATGTATCAGGTGACGAAGAGCAAAAAGTTATGGAGGATCTGCAAATGCTTCCCAAAGCTTCTCCCAATTGCAAAATCAAGGTCAAGTTTTGTCGTACTCTTGCTTTAAGTCTGTTGGAAGTTGGAGACATGATCATCAAGGATACAATCTAGTCTATGATTAGCATGAGAGAACCAATCTCAAAAGAACTTGTGTGTTTTGTATTTTTCATGTGTTGTGTTGTCATAAGAACTTGTTTGTTTTTTGTATCTTTCATATTTGAGAAAGAAAAAACTAATGAAACTATACATAAGTTGAACGAACAAGTTAATGAACATTACCATTCATTACATTTTTTTCCAAACCAATTTCTCTCATTTTCCCCTTATAAACCAATAAGCCAATCTAAAATTAGCAGCAGCAGAAGAAGCTTCCTCTAACTTCTTTCTCCGGCGAGTTTACATCCGTCGGATTCTGATCTCCTCCGTCTCTAACAGCCATCAATGAGCATGTTCCAGGCGATTCCGGTGGCAACACGGCGTTTTCTGAAGAGAAGACGCGTTTGATTGACGGAGGAACAAGCTCAGGTGCTGAGATTGTGGAGAGGTAACGTAAGAGCACTTGAATGATCTCTGTGAAGTTTGGTCGATCGTTTGGATCTTCTTTCCAGCATGATGTTACAATCATTGCTAAATCCTCCGGTAAATCGTCTGCGCTCGGCCTCACGTTCTAACCGGAAAATATAAAAAACAGACAACAATCCGGTTAAACAGTGTCTGGTTACATAACCAGTTTCATTTGCATCTCCGTTGATAATCAAGAATCAAAATGGCTGGGATCAAGATTCAAACGGCTGAAGCAAGAACCAAAAGGTTTCAAATCAAGAACCAAACTGTTTACACTCAAGAAAAAACCAAATCTTGGAATCAAGAAGCATACAGTTGGAAGATCAAGAATCAAACGACTCACATTCAAGAATAAAACAGTAGCAAATCAAGAATCAAACTTTGGAGTCAAGAACCAAACAGTATAAATCAAGAAACAAACGGTTGAATATCAAGAATCAAATGGTTGAAAATTGAAAAATAAAGAATCAAACCTTGAATGCAGCAGCGTAAGCGGCTTGGAGATTTGACATGCCTTCGAAAGGTAACTTGTTGTGGATAAGCTCCCCCAAGACAATGGCGAAGCTGCAACCTTGTGGTTATAGTGTTTCTTCTCGCCGTGCCTCAACGTGACCGTACTATAAAGCTGTTTTAACCGTAACTTTAAGATTAAGCAACTTTGTAGAACCAAAGAAGTGTTTGAACAAAATTAATAAAGACATTGTTGGGCTTTATCAATTTGTATATGTGTGTGAATAAAGAATGTGTTGTACCCCAAACAAATAAAATATTTTCATTAGCTATAACTCTTTGTGAGAAGTTAATTAAGTTCTACTTTGGAAACTTCGGAAAGTTTTTGAATAGTCGTATATATGGATTAATCCATATACTGGTTTAAATGGTTTAGAGAAAGAAGAGGACACATGTGTGCTGCCGCCGCCGGGCCGGGCCAATGTCGGTGGTCCGTGGTCCGTGGTCATTTTTTAGATGGGCTCGTAGGGCTTTAAGGCTCTATATAATCACAAGGGCATTGAGTCGGTTAGGTATTGATTAACATACTTTGTCAATAACGTCCTAAATATGTCGTCCAAATTTTTGTGGGTTCAACTAAAAAATCCTAGTCCCCTTGCTATTTTATATATACAAGTCGTAAGCCTCTCTTTTTGATCATCCCGAATCCAAAACCAAATACACAAAGAAAAAAAGTAAACACACAATTCTTTCGATCTACCATTGCATCAGGTTAGTTATTTCGAGAGTATTGTAGAGTTAATTTCGTTAGATCCGATACCGAGTATTGCGATTCCGGGTTAAATAGTTGTATCATGGGATTCATGAAGCATGAATATACTGTCACACTACATTGATTCTTTGAGTTAAGGATAAAGATTTTTATCTCTAGTTTACTGTTTCAAAATTTTTCCTTAACTTATTTTATTCGGTTTTGATTATCCTTATTACTTTCGTGATTGAATTGATTTATTTTGTAGTTTCTAAAATATTGGTCTTGCAGTCTTTAACTCAAATAAATCCATTATTGTTTTACGAACATATCACAGATTTTAATCCCGAGTAAATATAGGGTTTTCAATCAATCGATTTCAAAAACGATTTTTTGGATTTTAATTAGTTTTATTACTCTTCCGTGTATTGATTGCGATCAATAAATAGAGACATTACAAAATACATGTAATTGCTAATTTTTGGATTAGAGAACATACTCTTAACTATGGTTTTTACTAAAAACAATGATTCAAAGACCTTGACGAATACTCTGCGAAGATTCGAAAATGACCTGCGGATCTTAAAGTTTTAATGTTGGTTTATACCAAATTAATTTTTTACATACTTTAAAGTATTAATTCGGGTTTGTTTCTGCTTTGTATCAGAATAACAAACAAAACTTCCGAAGTTGCCACTGATTTGGAAAAGATGGAGATGGATGGTACCCAAAAAACGGTGGCTACAGGTCTGATCGAGACCAAAAAATCTCAAAGAGAACTCATGTTCCTTCTCCTGAAATCTTCGATAGGACTGCGGCTGAGTTTTAAGATGTAGAAAAAAAAATGTTTTTCTATCCGACGACTCTGAACCTGTAGAAGTATATCAACGAGGTGAGACCTCATCTTCCTGAAGCAAATGAAGCATTTCTGTCCAAGAGTTGGAGAAAATGAAAGATTTCTTAGGGAAACTGTCATGTCTTGAAGTGGTGGAAATTGAAGCTCGTGTATCAATTAACAAAGAGCCACAACTCATGGCAGATCTGCAAATGCTTCACAAAGCTTCTCCCAATTGCAGAATCCAGATCAAGTTTCCTTCGTATCCTTGCTTAAAGCAGTCGTAAGGTGAAGACACTATCATTGGTTCATCTAGGAGTTATCACAAGTATGAGAGAACCCATCTCAAAGGACTTGTTTGTTTTGTAACTTTCATATGTTTTCTTGTCATAAAGACTTGACTGTTTTGTATCTTTCATATCTGGTTTTTAAATAAGAAGAAACCAAACGTAAACTATACATATTGTTCCAACAAAATCATAACATTATCTTTCACCGAACAAGTTTTTTTTTTTGTGTGTAAATGTTAAAAAGTTAATATACTACCACAGGACTAAGAATATATAATCTGGAGGAATAGGAGACAAGTATGAAGGAATTTCAGTTCTTCTTGATCTCATATATCCTGCCAGTTTAAAATATAAATGCAAACAAGCTAGCACGAGGTGACCACGACTATCTTTACAATTTAAATTATGTAAACTCAATTTCACCGATTTGATTATCGTTTTATAAGAGTTTGAGGCTGTTGACAAAAAAAGAAAGAATATACAATCATTTAAAGAATCCAAAAGGACTACCGACTACCACATCCAAAACGGTGTCAAACGTGTGAAATTACAGAAGAAATGTGTAGAAGAAGAAGAAGAGATCTTCCTGTTTGTTTTGATGGCGTCGCTTTGTAATGATGAGATCTAAACAAACAAAAAAAAAAAATCACATATAAGATGTATTTATAGTGTTGATTTCAGTTGTTTGTTCTGCTAATTGTCTGATTTACAAAATCTAACTTGCTTTTCTTCTCGTTTCCCTTTAAACGTGATGGTTATAAAACTGGTGTTTAAAGGCTTTTCTTTTGATCACTTTGAGAATCTCGAATCAATACAACAATAACACCAAAGTCTCTCTATGATTTGACATATCAGCTTTTTAAAGTTTTATAAACATGACACTTCAGCAAAAATAATCACATATTAAAACATTTTATTAATACATCTTATCTACTTGTTTTAATTTTTAAACTTAAACCCATTAAAAACCCAAATATTTTTTTATTAATTTTTGTTTTATTTTTAATCAAACCCAAGCCCAAATAATTAATAACAGCAAATAAAAAAATTATTATTTTACTTTTTGCCAAATCCAAAACCAAATAATCAATAAATAAAATAAATCATTGTTTACTTTTTTTGCCAAAATCAAATCCAAATAATAAATAACAACAAATAAATAATAAAAAAAATTCTAGCTATCTGTTTGTTTGACATAGACGTAGATGATTGAAAAAGTGTAGGCTCAATATCAACTATGCTTCCATGACAACAACGCAAAAAACCTTATGTTATAAGAAGCTCACACATCAGCAAAAATCTGAACTGATAAAAACATAACAATTTCTTAGTTTTCGCGGGAAAACACAATTTCACAGGAGATAATGCAATTTTTGATTTTCGCGGGAAATTATAGTTTATTTATTTTTGTAGGAAAGCGTGATTCTGAGCTTGACGAGAAAATGATTTTTTTTTTGGCAGGAATAAACGATTTCTTAGTTTTCGCAGGAAAAATAAAATTTTCGATTTTGGCGGGAAAATACAATTTTTTTTTTTGGGTTTTGCAGGAAGATGAAATTTTTTGGTTTTTGTGAAAAACGTAATTTCTCGGCTTTGGTGGAAAAACACAGGTTCTTGCGGGAAATTAAAATTTTAGGTTTTAAGTTTGACGAGAAAATGAATTTTTTAGTTTTGGCGAGAATAGCCGAATTCTCAGTTTAATGGAAAAATAAAGTTTTTTCAGGTTTTGACAGGAAATGCGATTTCTCGATTTCTGTAAGAAGATGAAATTTCTATGTGCTAAATTTTCAAATTAAAGTATGTTTACAGTAACCAAAATTTAATTATTTAACTTTAACTAAAACGATATTTTAAGAGTTCAAACATAATTTTCTATTTAGTTCTAAAGCAATAACAATGGTTTTGATATGAATGTTATTGATTATAGTTTGGTAGTTTTAAAAGCATTTGTTTATAATAAAATATTTGATAAATAAATAAATTTTATAATTCAAAATAATCATATTAATTAATAAATTGTTTTTTAAAATGGCATTTTGCTTTGTATAATTACAAAGGAGAATCATGTGGCAATTTATTAGAGAAAATATACATTTGCCATTAGCATGAAGATACTAAAAATGTATTGCTTTATTCTTATATATTTTATTCCTATATATACATTTATAATTAGTTGGCTAACTAAATTTAATAGCAAATTATAATTTTGAAAAAAAAGAGTATATGATGTTTATTCAGATTTAAAACATATAAATACATAACATAAGCTAATAAAAAATAAATATAATACTCATTTACATTATAAAAATAATTTTATTATATTAAAAATATGTAAAAGATTTTGAAAAATATCCCGCAGCAGAGCGCGGGTAAATACTTAGTGGATATAATAGTGAATAACTAAATATTAGAGGAAGTAAGATTAAGCACCGTACAAATGGATAAAAATTAATAGGATTAGATTATGGTTTTAGATTAATATTAGTGCAATTGTTAGCAAAACAGTGTTGTTGTAGTATAGTGGTAAGTATTCCCGTCTGTCACCGGGTGACCCGGGTTCGATCACGGCAAGGGCGAATTGTTTTTTTTTACTTTTTTTCTCCAAAATATTCAACCAAACGAAACGATGCATTTTAGGGGTTTTTGAAAGATTGTCCCGACTCTGCTCAAGTTCCTCCTCCTCCTCCTTGAATTGGCTTCGAAGATGAGATTTTGATTCACTAAAGTATCGAAATTCATGGTACCATTTAAGAGTTGATCGGATTTTCTACAAGTTCGCTCCTTGAGTTTTCATTTTTTTCTGCGTATATATCCGTTTGTGGCGAAATCTGTTTACCATCGTACCAACTACCAAGACTTCATTTTGATGGCTCGGTGGTCAACGATGGAGAGCGTTTCAAGGCTTTTGTGGATGGAGTACTGGCTCTGCCTGTCACTTCCCGTGTAAGGACATTCTCTCTAAAATGCAACCATGTGGCCCAGTTTGACGAACCGTTGTCTCTGTGATGTGGTGAAGCGTGATGTCTTGGTTCTGAAACTCGAGATACAAGTTGTCCAAAAAGGATGTTACTATCCACTGCCTCTTCAAGTCTTCACTTGCAGGACAGTTGCTAAAATGAAGCTAGGGTCTGTTGTCCAAAAAAGGAGCAAAAGCATGAAGCCAGGGTCCCGTTTTGCTGTCGACCTTCTCCCTGAGGATGCTTTTCTTCCGGCTCTCAAGAAGATCTTTCTCGATTCTGTTCGTTTCTACGATGTTGGTGGTCGCTGTGCGTTCGAAACGCTTCTCTCCGCGTCCCCTGTGCTTGAGGAGTTAGTCATTGATGGTGCCGAGTTGGAACGGTGGAAATGGTGTTGCACCTTCTCCAGCCCGAGCCTTCGAAGACTGACCATCCGGCGTGAAGAGTGGGAATCTATCGATGAGTCCGATGATGAGCTCGTTGAACTGGATTGTCGGGGACTTGTCTATGACTTCGACAGCGTCAGTTTCGATACTCCGGCTCTAACCTACTTGGAGTACTCTGATTATGTTCCTAAAACGTATCCATTTGTCAATCTCAACTCCCTTGTTGAAGCTAAGCTTGATCTTCTTGTAATGCCAAGTGGTTTATGGTCAGATAGAGATGCAGATGAGGATGATGTGGAATTCGATCCAATGAGTCTGATTAATGGGATTAAACATGTTCAGATTTTGAACTTAGATATCGACACTGTGGATGTAAGTGCCCTCTGTTGTTTTCTTTTTCTTTGATACATTAGGATTGAGGCTTATATTTGAGGTATAAGAATCAAGATATTCAAATGTTTCTTGATAGGTTGCTTGATATTTGATGTCTTCCGTGATTTTCTTGTGTTTCAGATGTTTGATGTCTTCTGGGAGGCAATGCCAGTGTTTGAAAAGCTGTCTCAGGTTACTATTGGACTTTCCAACTTCTGTTGTCTTTCCAACTTCTGTTGGTATTCTCTACCAAATCTGATAAAGAAATCTCCAAATCTGAAGACTCTCATCATCGATGTTTGACCGTAAACCCTAAAAGTTCATTGCACAAACAAAATTTTGAAAACCTTTTAGGTGAATCTAATGTTTTTTAGTTTTGTTTTCAGGGTTCTTTGCATTGTGGTTATGGGGAAGATGGGTTGGTATGCCAGTGCGTGTCAGAGTATTCTTTCCTATTGGCATGTCCTGTGGAGGTCCTAAAGATCAATTCTTATGATGGTTCTATCGAGGAGCTGGAGCAAATGAAGCATTTCTTAGGGAAATTGTCATCTCTTGAGCTGGTGGAAGTTGATGCTTGTGTATCTTCACCTGACAAAAAGCTACAAGTCATGGCGGATCTGCTAATGCTTCCCAGAGCTTCTCCTAATTGCAAAATCCAGGTCAAGATTTCTCCAAAGCCTTGGTACTAAGAGCAAACACTAATCTTTCCCTACTTTTGCTAATTAAGTTTATCCGGTAGTTGACATAAGAAGCTTGTTTAGTCTATGGTTAGTATGAGAGAACCATTCTTAAAAGCACTTGTTTGTTTTGTATCTTTCATATGTTTTTGTTGACCTAAGAACTTGTTTGTTTTGTGTCATTAATATCTGATATTAAAAAACAAACGAAGCCATGCATAACTTCAACAAACTCATAACAATAACTCTAAGCTATTATCCATTACCCATTCATTACATTTTGTCAAACCTACTTCTCTCATTTGAGGGTGTTGACTTTTGAAGATTGCTCCAACTCTGCTCAAGGTATGGAAATTCATTGTACTATTTAAGAGTTGATCCGATTGTCTACCATCATTTCTGCAACTTCGCTTCAGTTTTCATTTTTTTTTACTTTCATGTGGATCTTAAGCTCATCTGATTTGAAACTGGTTAGTGATTTGTCTAGCCGAGACTGAGTTTTCGAGATAAGTAAAAACTAAAAAGGGTTTTTCTTGGATTTGCAAAGTCATGGGTATGATCAGTAACCTACCAAGTGACGTTATTTGTCACATCGGGTCTTTCCTCTCGGCAAAGGAGGCTGCTTTCGCATCGATTCTCTCTAAGCGTTGGCGGAATCTATTTACCATCGTACCAAAGCTTCATTTCGATGGAGAAAGTCTCAACGATTTTGTGGATGAAAAGTATTGGCTCTACCTATCAGTTCCTGTATTTTTCATGTGTTTTGTTGTCATCAAGATTTGTTTGTTTTGTATCTTTCATATTTGAGAAAGAAAAAAAACAAATGAAACTATACATAAGTTCAACGAACAAGTTAATGAACATTACCATTTATTACTTTTTTTTCAAACCAATTTCTCTCATTTTCCCCTTATAAACAAATTTAAATTAGCAGCAGAAGAAGAAGCTTCCTCTAACTTCCTTCTCCGGCGAGTTGTTTACATCCGTAGGATTCTGATCTCCTCCGTCTCTTACAGCCATCAATGAGCATGTTCCAGGCGATTCCGGTGGCAACACGGCGTTTTCTGAGGAGAAGACGCGTTTGATTGACGGAGGAACAAGCTCAGGTGCTGAGATTGTGGAGAGGTAACGTAAGAGCACTCGAATAATCTCTGTGAAGTTTGGTCGGTCGTTTGGATCTTCTTTCCAGCAAGATGTTACGATCATTGCTAAATCCTCCGGTAAATCATCTGCGCTCGGCCTCACATTCTAAATATAAACAGACAACAATCCGGTTAAACAGTTACATAAACAGTGTCATTTGTATTTCCGTTGATAAATCAAGAATCAAAATGGCTGGGATCAAGATTCAAAAGGCTGAAGCAAGAACCAAAAGGTTTCAAATCAAGAACCAGACTGTTTACATTCAAGAAAAAACCAAATCTTGGAATCAAGAAGCATATAGTTGAAAATCAAGAATCAAACGACTCACATTCAAGAATCAAACAGTCGCAAATCAAGAAACAAACTTTGGAGTCAAGAACCAAACAGTAGAAATCAAGAAACAAATGGTTGAATATCAAGAATCAAATGGTTGAAAATTGAAAAACAAAGAATCAAACCTTGAATGCAGCAGCGTAAGCGGCTTGGAGATTTGACATGCCTTCGAAAGGTAACTTGTTGTGGATAAGCTCCCACAAGACAATGGCGAAGCTGTACGCATCAACCTTGTGGTTATAGTGTTTCTTCTCACCGTGCCTCAACGTGACCGTACTATAAAGCTGTTTTTAACCGTAACTTAAGATTAAGCAACTTTGTAGAACCAAAGAAGGCAAATACAGAACACCAAGAAAATGCATATTACTATTACCTCAGGAGCCATCCAACGATATGTACCAGTTTCTGCAGTCATCATCTCGGTTAGTGATTCTTCTCTAGCTAAACCGAAATCCGCTAGTTTAACCGTCTTGTAATCCGCGGTTAAGATCAAGTTCTCTACATTCCAAGAAGACCAAGATTGTATAATTTTTCAAAAAGTCTTGAAAGTGTGTGATTTTGGTTTTTTTTAACTGTTTACCTGGTTTGAGATCGCGATGGATGACTCCATGAGAGTGTAAGCATTCCATTGCACGAGCAATGTCAAGAGCAAACCCAACAGCTAAACGTGTGTCCAAACGCCCTGGACGCAAACTCACAAGGTATTTACGCAATGTACCACCGAGTAAAAGCTCTGTGACTATAACCATTATCGGTTCTTTGCAAGCTCCAATGAACTACAACAAAAGAAAACCGAATCCAAAACGTTTAGTGATGTCTCTACTCTAACCAAAGTCTCTAGCAAACATGAACCGGTTAAAAGTAAAGAAGCTGAACCTTGACCAAGTTTTTGTGTTGAACTCTAGACAACATAGAGACCTCTCTCGCAAATCTGCTCTCTCTTTTAGCAATCTCTTCCGGAGATTCACCTCTTTTAACAATCTTGATAGCAACTGTTTTGTTTTTATACCTAAACAAGAAAAATCAAAGTTTGATCAATCCCAACACTTCTCATCAATAGTATCATCCCTGAAAACTATCTCTGGTGATTCAATTTGCTCAACACCAAGAAACTGATTCCCACTAAAGTGGAAACATTTCTTTGAAAATAAGAATAGTAACACTTAGATCCTTAACTAAGCGAACAACCATTAAACTGAAGCATTTGTGCAAAAGAGTAAATCTTTTTTAGCAAAATGTTCATTTTTTCACATATGCAGAGTCTTTATTTAGACACAAATCCAAGCAGACCAAATCCCGAGAAAAAAGGGGAAACAATAATGGATTAAGAACCATAAAGTGACTAAAACTGAAGTCAAAGTTGAATGGAATGTTGTGAAATTAATCTGATAAAGTGATGGGAAGAATTAAGAAATTGACTTACTTTCCTTCATAAATTTTGGCATGAGCTCCTTCGCCGATCTTGGGACCAACAAAGAGATGTTGAGGATCAACGATCCATTTAGGATCCAATTCAAACACTTGATTTGAGTAAAACCCAGTTTCAGATCCCATTGAAAATTTTGAATTTTGTTCTATAACTAAAAACCCTAATTAGAGAACTGTCAAATCCAGACCCTTTTGATGTTCAATCATTCTTGGTATAATGAGAAAGAAACAAGATGCTTTTGAGGGTTATAAAGCGAAATCAAGAGACTTCCATAAATATAATAAAAACAAAAAAAAGACTTAGAAAGAAACAACAATCTCAATTTGTGAATAACAAGATACAAAAAGATCCTTTCTTTTTCCGAGTTTGAGTTGAGACAAGGAAGTGAAGATAAAACCCAGATGGAGAAATGGTCAAAACTTGATGATTAATATGGTCGTACTTTGGTGGTAAAGATTTATAAAATTTATAGAACTTTTAGGGTTTCAATTAGTTTAAAGAGACAAAAAGATTGAATGATCAAAAAGATGTTTTGCTTTTTCCGTGTAAGTAAAGTGACAAGATATCTCATCTCTCTTTGTCTTTGTCTCTCTCGATGTTTTGTTCTGTTTTTGCTGGTCGGGAAAATTTACAGAGGCGTAACCCGGATAAAATCGAAACCGTAAACCGGAAATTGAATCAAAAGAACCGGACTTGAACAAAACTTAAACCAAACAAAAAGTCAAGTCTATAAAAGGAAGTTTCCTAGACTGTAGAGATAGGAGCAGTGAAACAAGTCATTCTCTTTTTAAAGAAACAAACAAACTCTTTTATTAGTCTTCTTTAACAACAATCCTCTTTTTATTAATTGACTAAATGACAAAACAATTGTGAATGAAAAATAAATAGATCGTGGGCCAGAAAATAAAAATGACAGAAATAAAAATCGTCGGTGGGGTGAGAAAAGTGGACAGGTTTTGACTTTTGACTAACAAAGATCAGTCCTTTGGTACTTCACCAACTTTTCTTTGGTTTCATTTCAACTTTTTGGGTCTAATCATACTGTAAAATAGTGAAATGATAGCTTGAAATCTTTATTTGGAGCTTGATAAACAAAAATAGGAGAAGATCAATGAGTCAAAAAGACACTTGCACACTATGTCAACAGAAAAACAAAGGAACTGAATCTCACTTTGTGTAACTAAATTCTGAAAAACTTCAAAGACCAAAGTGATTGGTTCCCTCAAAACAAAATTTCATAAACAAAGATGAAAGTTTGAGCTGTTTCAGACAAATCATCGATATGCCTAAATAATACAACAATGAAGAACATAAAGAGTACTACTACTACTCTGTGTGATCTTTCCATCATCGACGTTTATATAAACATGCTTTTAGCTCAGGCCACTCGATTTTCTTCTTTTTTGAATTCAACTGCTCCTATATAATCACATAAGTATAAAAAAAGTTTATGTTATTAAAAAGGTAGATCAAAAAAGCTATGAGACTAACCAAACCTAAAGGAAGCAACTTTCACTAACCTTTTTCTTGAAATGCAGTAAGATGAACATCTTATTCGAGAAGTCCTGCGCAAAGAACCAAATGGGTTTCTTTCTTATAGTCAAAATTACAAAGAGAAGAGTCTAGAGATCAAAAGATTTTACCTTTAAAGCCGAAGTAAACCCAAGGTCACAAACTGCTTTCACAAAGTCTTTTGGGTCTGCTCCTCCATTGTTTGGATCAAATCTGCTTTTTACTTCCGCTATAAGAAGGTAACCGCTGTTGAATACACACGGTGAACTTCAGTTTATTCAGAATCATGACAGAAATCTATGAAGCAGAGTCTAGGAAGTTAAAAAAATTGCAGAACCTTGGACGAAGAACTCTATATGCCTCTCTGATGTAACTTGAATAGTTTGTTCCCATCAACGAAAGACAGAAAACAGTAACATCTACTGATGAAGTCTCAAGTGGAGTCTACCAAGAAACCAAAACCAGTTAAGTCTAGTCTGAGAAAGAAAGAAACATCATGAAGTAGAAAGAATGCAGCAAGAATTGAAACGTACCTTTGACATATCGCAGGCGATAACAGACGGGTTCTTTGAGACAAGATCAAAGGAGAAAACTTTGTTCTTCACACTCTTTGCAATCCTTGCATCACCTGAAATGAACAAAGACAACAGCTTTACGATCATCATGTCGGTAAAAGCAGTTTCGAACAGCAAATACAGTGATCAGGAAACCTCACCACAGCCAAAATCAGCCACAACTAAAGAAGAGCTTCGTGAGGATAGCCAACTTATCATGGAGTTAACAGGAAGCTCAGGCCAATTCGACATTTGTTGCTGATAACCTGTATGATACTGAAACAAAAATAAAAACAGAATCAAATTACTTTAAAATGCAGAAATTCTACTAAATTTTTGTTTCTGAAGAGCTAATGTGTTTACCATATCAAACAAGTCTGGATCTTCTTTAAAGTAATCTAATGCTTCTTTCCCACTGAGAAAAAAACAGAGTATTGAAAAGCTCTGTGAAACTGAAGAAGAATCATCAGAAAAAAAAAACGAAATAAAGCTTACGAGCATGTGTAGAGCTTCTCATTGAGCCTCCTGAAGTTCCCACCGGATAATTTCTCTCGAAGCTGCGAATTTTCGTAAAGTGGTTCTATCAATAATCCAATCAGACAGCAATCAAATGTAATTGTGAGCGAGAGAGAGAGAGAGAGAGTACCGCATCGAGATAGTTGGAAGGTTTAGGTCGTTTCGCTGAAGCTGAAGATCCTCCACGTTGCTGGTTTTTATGGACTTTGTTCTCTCTTTGTCTCTTTTTGTCGTTGTTTTGATTCTCAGGTGTCTCGTTAGGCTCTTCTTTAGGAGTTTCAGGGTTTCTTTGTCTCTTCCTCTTCCTATTTCTGCTTGTACTTTCCTCTTTCATGGCTTTCGCCGTCCTCGTCATCGTCTTTCTTCTTCCTCCACCGGAATTGTCCCAACAGTTTCTCTGCGTTAGGTTAGTTTTCACTTGTCGAAGATTGTTATCTTTTGGGCCATAGACTTAATTTCATTGGGCTTTTGTATTTGGCCCAAGTTGTAGAACTCATAAACTGTACATATGTATCCACCACACTAATGACATGTCTTGAACACAATTTTGGGGGTATTTCATCGAATCGAATGATAATTAGATTGAAGACAATTACGAATGACAAAAACTAAATAACATAGTCGATAATTCGTTAGCAAGTAAAGTCTATCGAAATGAAAGTTCACTTGTTCTGTTGTATATACAAAAGGTATATTTTAATGCTTTTACTTTTCAAATAATAAAGAAAGGTTTTAAACAAAATTGTTTGTAAAATGTTATTTCTCTGGTTGAATTTTGTATACGAATTAAGCATAATTACATATCATTTTTAGTAAGTTCGTCGAAAAATTGCAAAATCGACTACTACAACTCATTGACAAAAGCGTCCGAAATAGAATATCTTCGAGATTGGATCCGAGATATGAAGAAGCCCTCACCAGATGGTTTGAAGTTCGAAATTGATGGCACATTACAAGCGCTCTTAACCATTTGTATCAAAATCTCTGTCCCGATTGATTTTCTCCAACCTCTTGATGTAACAACGATTTTTGGTTTGAATATAATTTAACATTCACTTCAAAAAAAAAAAATTGCAAAATCACACTGTTGCCAAAAAATATGTAAAAAAATCGTACATAACTCTACAAAGACATAAATTACGGTACAATCGATTGACAATTACCTGTTCCAAAACGAACCAAACCACACAAACCCGAGCCAAACCAATGAACCAAATCAAAGTTAATTAATTAACGGCCGGAAAAATAATTGCACCAAAGCGAGAAAGAGAACCCGTTCACAAAAGAAGATATGGTTGATTCTCACCAAATCCACACATACAAAAACAAAAATATCCCAGAAACCAAAAGTTTATATGTTTCTTAATGGTAAGAGAATCAGAGACAAAAAAAAAAAAAAAACATAATTCCTCAGGTGTTCGAATCGATGGATGTTTTCTTTTTACCAATAATCTCGTGGCAATCTCCAAAAAAGCTTCTGTTTTGAATCAAATACTTACGTAAGAGTAAGAAGCATAAGGTTAGAGGTTCCTTATCCTGACCTCTTGAAAATGGTGTAACCAATCATGGCTATGGTCGCAACGGCTCCAACCACAGCTGCTCCAATGTAGATTTCTTCTTTGTCAAGAGGCTGAAACCATATGTTGCACTTTCCTTCCTTCTTGACTGGTTTTGGCTTTGGGGTTTCGTCTTGGCAACAAGAAACTCCGTTTGATCCTTGGCAACATCCTCCTGAGGATTCCTCTACCACGCGGTTACCGTTTGATATCACTTTCTGTTCATGCTCTCTCTCAGGTACACCTCCAGGCAGACCCATTTGCCCCCTGAAATTAGAAAGTTAATCAAAGTTTAACCAACCATAAACAGCAACTCAACAATCCTTTCTTAAGTGAATTACAGAACAGAGAAGGTCGAGATCAGAAAAGTAAACATATTTTGAGTTTTTGATACAAGGGACGATTTACAACATATGTGAACAGGAGAGAAACATGAGTTTGAAACCTATACCTCCAAATCCTTTGAATGATTTCACCTTTGGCAATATGTTGGTCAAGCAACTCAGGTACATCATCAGGAGTTACATAGCCATACCTGCATTTAAAAGTAAAACACAACGTTTAACTCGGTGATGCCATAAACTATAAACATTTTTTTTTCTTTTGATCCACAACATTTACTTACCAATTGCCAAAAATCTTTCCAGCTGAATCAGGACTGAAGATGATTATGTTACCAGCATACTTGTGCTGTCCAACGTGAGAGCATCTCCTGAGAGAGATTTGATTCGAAAGTCCACGAGAGCCAATCTCCTGTTTGAACCTCTCTAAGATGACTGGTCCACAAACCCCACATCTCTTGTCTCGACTAGCATGAGTACACACGAATACAAATGTTCCAGATAACTTCTCCTCTCTCCCAGATCTCCATGGCTTCCCATTCACAAGCACATCTTCGAAGAAACTTTCCACTTCCGTATCCTTAATCCCCCTTTTTGATCATATAACCATCACGAGAATCAGCGTTTCGAATCAAACTTATGCAGCTAATTCGGATCTGAGTCTCAGGTTTAAGAAGCTTATTGACTACATCCATATGACTAAAATTAGCTTATGCAATCTCCATTCTCCAGAAATCTAAATACGAGTCAATCATGTTTTAGTCAACTGTTTTTCCCCAAAACGATTTCACTAAGATTCAACACATCAAGATCTTGAATCAAATTTCTGCAGTTTCTAAAATTAGCTTATGTAATTTCCAATCTCCAGAAATCTACTAAATACGAGTCAATCTTGTTCTAGTCAACTCCTATTCACAACACATATTACGTCAAGAATCGAAAACCTAGACGCACTCACTTGTATCTGACCATATCCGGAAAAATCAACACATCTCCATCAGATCCACCTCCTTCGCATACATTCAGCTTCGTCTACAACAAATTCAGCTCGCAGGTTGATCAAACGAAAGAGAGAACCGTAATAAACGTTGAATGTTAACGAGACCGAATCAAATGTTTTGTATACCTGAACAAGGAGGTCAGATTTGCGATCCTTGAGCAAAGTCGCGAAACGCTGAGGTAAACCTTCCTCCTCGACGTGAGAGAGCCAAGCTTCAGGAGTCTTGTAAAGAACAAAAACATGGCGACCGTACGAATTGATGGAGTTGGCGATGTTGGTGCTGTACATCTCCGGCCGCTTAAACCCAAACTCCGTGTCTTCCGACGCCGGAACTGAGCTCAGATTCTCAACATTCGCCATCGACGAGTAGAATACAACTCGTTTCTCAAGAAAAAAATCAGCGATTCGTGTTTCTCAGAAGCAAAGAGAGAGAGAGAGAGAGAGAGAGAGAGAGAGAGAGAGAGAGAGAGAGAGAGAGAGAGAGAGAGAGATCGAAGAAGCTGATTTCGAAAATGGAGGAATCAGTGCAACTTCGATTTAATTTGCGATTCTTCTCCCAAACACGTCTTGAGGCGCGCACACGAATATGGGTCCCACATTTTGCGATATGACAGGTCGGTGACATAAACTCTAACTCACAGATGGACACCTAGAAATCGACTCGTCCGTCACATTGTTTATTTAGTGACAGACGGTTGCTTTAGCTAAGCTAAGCCACGATTGTCAACTGTATTCTAAATTAGATGCAAACACATACGTATTGTATATCATTTTTTTGCAAGCTAATTGCCTGATGACGAACTTAAATATTTATTTCTTACCTGTGGTGGTAATATTAAAAAAACCATAATAATTAAGACACGAAGTATCTAATTTTACGTATACGGCCTAAATTCTTAGCTATATACATTTGCTTAATTGTAAGTTTACCATGAACTGGTTAGTTGACCTTTTATTTTCAATTACGGTTTTTTGAACGTTTCCTTGTTTTATTCTTCTTAATCGCTATATGTAACCGTTTCAAATGTTGCTGTTGGGCTCAGCTACTTTGGGTTTCCAAATCTAATTGGGCTGAGATTTGAGCTGAGTGTTGATAATAGGTTGACAATATTTCCGAGTTGGTTTAAGCCAATCGAGCATTGCATCAATTGGAAATCGGTTTGGTTTATTTGGTTATGGTACCAGTTGGTTAAAAATGTATATCGGTTTACTCTCGATCTCTAAGATCTAGTGAACTGCTTGCATTATGACAATGATCCATCATCGTACATGTTATTTTATTACATTAATGTTTTGGGGAAAAGTAATTAAAAAAAAAAGAGTTTTAAGAATTTTGGAGCAAATTGTCGAAATAAAGGTTTAAGACGTATCTAGCGGCGGAGAGAACATCGAGCCGCCTCTCACTCGGCTCGTACTTACCTTTCCGAAGCTGATACCGATGAGTCACCGCCGAGATTGTGTACGTTTGCCCTTCTATCATCACGTTCTCTCCGCACTGGAGATTCTGCAAATCAATAGCGTTTCATCAAATTCATCGATAATTTACGGAAAATCGAATCGATTTGACAAATTGAAGGGTTCCAAATGAGAGAAAATTTTGAGACTCACATGAGGAAGGCAACGAACGCCGAGAGATTTAGGTGGAGGAGTGATTTCAATGACTTTATAAGGATAATCGCTTTGGTCTCTTCCTCTCTCTTTCTTTCTGCAATTTACCTTCAACCCCTTTACCTGCAAAAATCCAAACTTTTACCATCTCTGGGGAAATGAAATCAGATGGAATTCGCTATTAAAAAATGGTTACTTTTCCGATACAAACGAGATTTGATGCAAGGGATGCCATTTTCACAAATCAGATTCTCAAGCACCACCAGAAATGAAAAACGCTGTTAACAGAGTCTCCGGAATTTTCATACGAAACAAATATCAGAGAGAGAGAGAGAGAGAGAGAGAGACTAAAAGATGGACAGAAGGAAAGGTGAGAACTTCTCAAAAAACGTAGAATTTTTCTCTGAGTTGTGTTAAAATGGAACAAGAAAAATTGAAAGAATCAGACAATGGAGAGGTATGATTGACCACAAGATATTTTTTTGGTCAATTTGTGGTTCTCACTTGAGAGAGAAAGAAGTGAGACACCCAAACCTTCGGACACAGGCAGAGGCTTCGAGGGAAAGAACATGTAATGGTACAATCAAGAAAGGTTCCAGTCAAAAACAAAAGCGATGATACAGAGCTAAATCTAGTTGCCGCGACGAGAGTTCTAAGCGAAAAAATAATCCGGCAATTATCTAAAATGTAATAAACTACTAAGGGAATCAAACACTCCTCTCACAGAATACAATAGCTAGCTATCAATCTTGATAACCGTACAAGAAGGAGGAAGAAGATTGAAGCTTTATAAAACTTTCTACCTTCCATAAGGATGGTACCTACCAGAACCTCCATATCCGCCTCTACTCCCTCCACCTCCTCCACCACCACCATAGAACGAGCCTCCTCCACTTCCGCCACCACCACCGTAGCCTCCTCCACCGCCACCTCCAAGACCACCCATGTCATAGGCGGCGCCACCACCACCTCTGTAGCCTCCGCCACCAGCACCACCCATGCCACCACCATACCCGCCAATACCGCTACTACCATACCCTCCTCCGTAACTGCCACTTGGTCCACCGTAACCACCTCCAGGTTCACCGTATGGCCCACCATACATATCACCCGGTCCACCACCATATCCACCGCCTCCTCCCATACCGTAACCGCCTCTGTTGTAACCACCACCGCCTCCTCCTCCATAACGACCAGAGTATCCAAGTGGGGGCTCTCCTCTATAAGGTCCAACCCCACCACCGTATCCTCCTCCGCCATACCCGCCAAACTCTCCCCCGTATCCTCCATAACCACCAGACCGGCCACCTCCATAACCGCCACCTGATTTGTAAGGACCACCTGGACCACCATATCCACCACCGTGTCCTCCACCATAACCATCTCCATAACCTCCACCAAAGTTAGAGCGTGAGTCACCGAAACGCTTTGACGGAGTTGTAACCGAGTTTGGTTTTTTCGGTTCTGCCTTCTTTATCTCTACCTACATATAAGACAACACAACAAAAGTAAAGGGAGATGTGAGTGTTTCGATTAGCTACAAAGCCATAGAATCTGAACAATATTTGTAAGAGCTTTCGGTTACCTGAGTCCCCGAGAGCTCGATTCTGTTCCCTTTTGCCAAGAGAAGATCAACCATATCTTCACTTTCATATGTAACAAACCCAAATCCACGTGATCTTCCAGTTGAGTGATCACGCATAATCTGGTGCTCCTTAAGCTCTCCAAATTGCATAAAGAACTCCTTGAACTCATCTACACAAACCCCAATCAGCAGATGAGTAATTTCATTTACTAAACATGATCACAAAAAGAAAACTATATGATATAAGATATGAGATCACAAGGAAGAGTGTTCTACCATCATCCACAGACGAAGGAATTCCACCAACAAATATCTTCTTGGTTCTGAAATCGTTGGAGCTCATGGACCCTCTCGGTATCGTCCGCTTAATTTCAACCTGAAGAGCCCAAAAAAGAAGTCAAACGTTATCGCACTGAAAGACACAAACTTAAAACTGTTAAGGCACACAGAGCTCAATCTAACCTGTTTTCCGTTAAGGATGTGATTGTCCTGGATAACTTTGTCGACCACAGACGAATCAGCATATGTCACAAACCCAAATCCTCGAGGCTGTCCGGTTTTCCTATCCTTCATAATCACAGAATCAGTGATCTCTCCGTACTTTTCAAAATGCTTGACGAATTCAGCTGCATAAACAAAAAAAAAGAGAGAAAACAGAGTTATAAAGTATTGAACTTTGTACCGTAACGAGAGAGCTAACCTCTTTTTACAGTGCTGCAACCAGACACAAGAGCTAACCTGAAGTTGTCTCCCTGGCTAAACCTCCAACAAATATCTTTCTACAAATTTCCACAAAACATTGTATAAGTACACTAATTATCACTAAGTATTAAGAAATCGGAGAAGAGGACTAAACTTAATCCTTTTCCACTCCAGATTTCTCTAGGGGGGAAACGAAGAAACTTATATCGCTAATTTCTCCAATCAGTATAGAAAGCTCGAATCTTTTACTACTTCCTATCTCAAATTTCTATAACAGAGGCCCTAGCAAGCCGAATTTGATCAAGACTTAAGCAAAACAGATGAGAGATTTCGAAAATCTGAGACTCGAGATTTCTAATTAGACGAAACCCTAGCAGAATCGATGATCTTTATCTTGTTCTAAATTTATCTCGATTTTCTCGAAGCAACGAATAAAGAATCTACCCTAATTCAAAAATCGAGAGAACGCACCCAGCACTATCGACGCCACCACCAGAGTGAGGGTGAGATTTGTCGTCATCGTCCTCAACGTCTTCGGATGGTTTCACTTCGTGGTTTTCGTCATCGACAACTGGCTCCGTTCCATAAGGGTCCATGCCGGAAGAATCGAAACCCTAAAAAAAAAAACCTTCGAGTCGAAAGGACGAAAGAAGAAGAGGAAGAGAAAAAAGTAGCGACAGCCGCCTAAAAGCCGTGTTGCGGAATGAGCAAGCCCTAAAACCCTTTAGAGAAGAAGAGAACGACGAGATGTACGTACTTATTGTGTTCCGCGAAGCACTTGATCTGAGCTTTTGTTTCGTTGTGTTAAAGAATGAGAGGACGCGTCGATCCCGCCGTTTAAATTTTATAATGGATGAATCTTAGCCGTTGGATTTTCCTTTACCAATTCAAGGACTGAAAAGGAAATTCCCTCCAATCTTTCCTAAAACAAATAGGGAAACAAATAGGAAGAAGAAAGACAGAGTAAACGTTATGTGTATGTCTTTGGATTGAACCAGAGGTCGTTTGTGTTTGTTTTTGCGCTTGATTGCACGCGATACACATTCATACAAACCATTAGTTTCGTGTATACGATACACAAGATCAAGATGTTGGTGAATGTAACCAAAAACTGTTTCTTTACATATAACAAAAAAAAAAAAAACTGATGTGGTAGGTTCATACATGATCAATGAAAGAGACAAAGACACACATATACAGTCAAGTCCTTATTTTTAAAAAAAACTTTGAAATCAGCCAATGATATTCCTCATCGTCTATCATAGATACAGACTCATAATCACACACATAATAACTGTTCTTCTGCTTAGTCTTTAAAACAAATGGATGTGCACAATGCTTTCTGGGACCATCGGAGTTGCAGAAGGGTCGAGTTGGAATATCGTTAGCAACAATTTCAAATTCCAGATACTTGTAGGGTATGAAACTGTGGCCTGGTCTCACATGTAGGTAATCTCCAAGTACGCAGTTCACATGAAGAGTTAAGCAACAGTGATTGCAAGTGTAGAACCACTCATTTGGATTTGTCTCTCCCTCACAAATCTCACACCAGTACAATCCCTTCGCATCTTCACCATAGCACAAAGAAAGAGGATATTGGTCGTACTTGTATCTTATCTCGCTTGGCAGAGTAGCACAATGGAAACACAAGTCGTAATCACATTCTATGCAACTCATCATAGGGTTCATGGATCTGCCACAAGCCGTGCATAGCTTGGATTCGGTTGAAATGCAGAACAACGGATGTGGATGACTTCCGTGGTTGGATCTATCAGAAACTTTCGCACAACGAACATCTATTGCTATATGATCTTTATATCTGTAAAAGAAACCAGTGCATTTTCGCATACAAGCGCTACAAATGAAACAACTGGCATATCTATACATATCTGGTTTGGGATTGACACACAAAGTGAGTTGATGACTCTCAATCTCATGCCGTAACTTTTGAGGAAGATTTGCGCATGTTTCATGCAGGAGGAAACCACACTGTGTACAACTGTAGCTAGGATCACATTAGACGGGGAAGGTGCACGCCTAGCAGTAAGTTATGTTCCCAACATTCTCTGTGACATCTTCCCAGCCCAAAGAAATTTTGTTGACAAAAGTCCAAAGTCCAGACCCAATCCGAAAGTTGACCTAAAGTTACCCTCCCTTCCAGTATAAATAGAGCTGCTGCCCTTCAGAAGTTTCAGTCAGAAAATTCTTCAGCGAAGCTCTGTCCTGTTCCTGCCGGAATCTCTCACCGGAGCCGTCGCCGCCATCGCCGGAGTTATCCCTGGAACCGCCGCCGTCGCCGAAGTTGTTGCCGCCGTCGCCGGAGTTGTCGCCGGAGCCGTCGGAGTTGTCGCCGGATCCGCCGCCGCCGCCGGAGTTGTCCCGGAGCCACGGCTGCCGTTGCCAGAGTTGCCGCCGGAACCGCCGCCGCCGTCGCCGGAGCAGCCGTCCGCCGTCGCCAAAAAAGTCACCGGAAAATTGCCAGTCACTGGAAACGTTCTCCTTCGCGCCCTCTTCTCGAATCTGTGATCGTTTCTTCCATCAGACGCCTTGATCCATTCGGCGAGGACCCGCAGTAAGATCTCCTTCTATTTCTGTTTTCCACTTCCGTTCCGAGACTAAGGTGAGGACTGGCGTGATCTATCTCTCTCAGATTCATAGTTATTTCATACTGAGTAGTCTTTTGTTAATCCACGCATACCTGCGCTGTATCTATATGAATACATGTATTTGATTGTTGATTGAACATGACTAGTAGCGCTTAAAATCACTATAATAATTGTTGTTGTCTTGCGGTTACTGATTGATGAACTTAGTATCATAGATTGCTAAACGGAATACTATTGATTGATGTATGAATAGTGTTTGCGGGTGTTTGCATTACATGGAGAAAATCACTTGCGGGTTGGGATTAGATGTAGGAACCTCTTTTGATATGTTTTGTTTGGATATGGAGGCGTGTGGGACTCTATAGTCCATCGTTGGCGGCTTGACGAGTCATGCGTCTTGAGGACGGACAGCGTATGGGCCGCTATATGCCACGGAGTGTGCGCCGGTGAGGGCGTAGATGCACCAGTTAGGTCTAGTGATGTCATTTCTTGATCTATGAGTGTCTTCGGACGTGTTTGTCTGTGTGTATTAGCTTAGGACCTTCGTCTGGAATGATTATGCATGTGCGAGATGTATATCGTGGGTCCCTAGGACCTGTCCTCACTAAGTATTGTTGGAATACTCATCCCTCTTTCCTCTGCAGGTGAGGGCGTAGACATTCAGGAGTAGTCTTGTGGCTCGGTGATGGTTTTGGGAAGATGCGGATTTTATTTTATTATTCGTTATTTATTTTTAAGACGATTATTTAAATTCGGTTTGACTGGTTAAGTTAAAGTGGTCTTGTAAGATGTTTTGAATACGATCCTTGGGAATAAAAGTGGCATTGAACTAGCAAGTGGTTTCTTGCGGTGAAAGTTAATGCACTTTAACATGCCGTCTTGGTTTGAAAGAGGCAGGTGTTACAATTGGTATGAGAGCTTAGGATTGCCAAACCGGTTGTGAGTCGGGAGGCGAATTGAAAAAGGAAAAAGTGTTTTCAAAATAAGTTTTCAAGTTAGTAATTTTTCTTAAATATTTTTTATTTTTAAAAACAAGTATTTTCAAAATATTTTATATTTTCCAATTTTTAAAAAGATTTATTTACTAATTTATAAAAAAAAAAAAATCTTTTTGAGCAAAAGGGGTATTTAAAAGGAAAAATTGGAAACATCACCTAGCTTGACTTGATCTTCGTGTTCTTCGTGTGTTAGGTGTTTCAGCTTTGTGAAGAGTTTTGAGAGTTTGCTTCTTCTGTGTTCAGGATGCCGCCAAAGAGAGCACGTGTTGTCCGAGCCCCGAGAGTTGTGCAACTTGTAGCTAGGTCAGAAAGTGCTGCTTCGACAGAAAGTGTCCAAGGGAACAACACTGTGAATGCGCCAGGGGGTGTGGACCCAGCCGGGGCAGCCCAGGGAGGTAACCAAGCTGTTGTGCATGCAGCCATGATGGAGGAGTTGCAGAGGTACCGTGACCGTTTTGGGGACCAGATGCGGAATGACCCGGAAATGGGGAATGTGCATCAGCAGGCTGCACCGTTGAATGGCCAGAACGGGGGAGCACAATATCAGCCGCCGCCTCTACCACCGGTTGCGCATGTGCCAGCTCAAAGACCTTCGTACTGGGAAACGTTAACCTTGATAAGGGATATGCAGATGAATCACTTTTACGGGAAGGCGAGTGCCTTAGCTGCTGATAATTGAAGAAAGAAGTTGGAGAAGAACTTTAATTCAATCAGGTGTCCACAAGAGTACCGCAAGGACTTGGCTGTGCAGTATCTGGTAGATGATGCCATGATTTGGTGGGAAGGTGTGGTAGAGTCGACGGAAGGGCGTTACAAGTTGACTTGGGCTGATTTCAAGGAGGAGTTCTGTGGTAACCCAACCCGGTCAACCGTACCGCGGCTGTGTCCCACTACATCCTCTAAGTCCAATTCTATACTTAGCCATATTTTTGAACATTTTCTTTATTTCTCTAAGTCATTTTTTAACAATACACAGCGGAATATAATAACTCAAAACACTCATTTATTCATCTTTAAAAGCACTAAACAAGATTCGGGGTTCCACATGAATAAAAACACAAGGTTCACTAACGATTACAACCAATCATCTAGCAACCTAACGGTTAAACACCAAAGCCATAAGACCCTAACACAAGTCTTAAATTATAAAACACACAACCCCGATCCATCCATATCCATCACTGCCGCCTGGTCTCGCGTCCTTACTGCTTAGTACCTGCACACTCAAAGGAGAGGCATAAGTATTTCATAAATACTTAGTGAGTACGGTCATCCCGTAACACCTGGTCAGTACCAAAACACGCAGTAAACTTTCGGATTCAACATTCACACAATCAATTCACAATACACACATCACTATCAAACGGCCCCTGATGACCTAGTCTAACCACCCAAGATCAATCCCTTTTTAAGACCCATGTTTACTTCAGCGAGAATCCCACATCTCCTAAGCTAGTACATGATCCGGATTACCCTGAGGTTAGCTAAACATCATATATGCCTCGGTAAACACCACCTTTTATCAAACACATAACCGTTCATACACTTAATCCACACAAAACATGAAAATCATCAATCAAGCATGTAAAACATTCAACCCTAGTCATGCTACGGTCCTAGACCTAACCCCGGTCACGCACTCACCTTAGACAAGGCTAGAAACAGATTGGTAAGAAGAAATCCCGATGAAAACCGCTCTAAATCAAAGATATCCGATCTCCCTAAGAATCTCTCGGCTCACGGTACGATCCGATCCTTATCCCCTCGGCTATCTCTTGATCCGTTCACCTTTCTTCGAGCCAAACTCTGTTTTCCCTCAGAAACCCCACAAAACAAGGCTATTAGCTCGAGGTTATCCGATGAAATCCTAACACTTAGGGAAATATCCGATCGCTTACCAGTTTATCTCGGCGATGGTCGGATTAGCTTGGCGATAGCTTGATCTCTCTCGGATATCCTCGGGATAAACTGTTTTTCCTTAGGGTTTTCTCTCGACTATTCTCTTTCTTTGCTTTATTGCTCTCGAATAAACACAACTCTCCCGAGAAAAGTCTCAAATCCCCTTATATACTCGCAAAACCCTAGGTAACTCGGGCTTATCCGACGTTTTCCTGGTTCCAGTAAACTTTATCCCGGTCCGATTCGATTCTCTCGGCTATTCCCTGTACCGGCTCGACCCATCCTTCGATA